TCAAATAGATGAAAGGTTAGTACCAATCTGCGCATCAAACGTTCAAAGCACCAAAACGAATCGCCTTCATCCTCGAGAAGCATTATCATGGGGGAACAAAGATCACTCATTCCTACTCAGAAATATTCATAAAGTCAGGTTCAAAATATGTTTTTCGGCCTTATAGAACTCAGAAAGTGACTCCAGTTGATACTCGAGAAACTTAATCTCATGTCTCATAAGAGAAAAGGCTTCATCAAAATTACGCACCTTGACAGTAGCCGATGTCTTTATCTATCCACGCATAAACAGCAAGTATATCCCAAAGTTTTGATAAGTTTTCTTGTTTTTCGTAGAATACCAACGTTCTGTCAGTCCGAACCACATCAAGGCCTAACACGAACATTTTTCAAATGGTCAGCTTCAAAATAAATTATGAAAGGTACTCGAGTCATGTCACAACTGTCATATAAACAAATATATGATGTCATGTGTGCGTGTGAGCGATAAAGCTTCTACAAACCTATCTGATGTAAAGTAAGCATCCACTGAATTATTTTCTGATCTGTCACAGGTTCCATGTTACTACAAGAATTCGGCTGTGAACCATTAGACTCGGCATCAGCAGTGCCGGTGTCTTGAGGCACAACCGGACCACTTTCTGGATTTGCTTCCAAAAGTACAAGTGGATCTTGAATAGGCTGACCATCCTCTGTGATTACAGGTGCTGTGATGTATCTACCACTTCCAATGACAGGGAACATTTGTCGACAGTCTTCCTTCCATGTCGCATACTGTATCCTGCAAATTCAAAAGCTCACAATCTAAGGGTTCATTCGATTTAGAGAATAGGTGAATAATTACTACAAAATATTGGGAAAATGCATTATATTGAAATGAAGTGACATGAAAACAACGGCCAAAAGCTTCTCATTTACAACTAAATCATTTCGTGGAGAGGCCCACTCGTCGCATTATGCTCATGGTCCATCGTCACGCATCCTAGACTATGCCTTCCTCACCCTAAGGCCGACTATAGGAGACAGTGAGGTTTTAAACTATCAAGTTTTCCACATGGGGCTTGAGCTCAAACCTTAGAGGGTATCTACCAAGTTCTTACAATCAAGGTTAGTTTTGGGAGTGCCATTTCTTGGAAACTACAAAGAACCATTTGAGGCGAAGTTTCGCAACCAATAATTGAGGAGAAGTCAAACTAAAACGAGTTCAGAATCTGCAGAAACATTATATGGTGCATTAACTTTGAAGCAAATAATGTAGATTATCAAAGGGTGGGTTCTCTCAATGAGCATCAATTAGATGAACTACCTTCGACGCTGGCGAATTTCTTCTCTCTCCTCAATGGTGCTCATAGGATCATAACAACCAAGAAGAAACTCCCACACTTCTCCTCTAATTGAAGGATGGATCCCCTGTATTACATAGAAAATTTGAAAAACAAGAACTTTATCATCCAAAGATCACTGCAATCTCCATCAAATATTTTCGTGAATACGATCATATCGATCAAAAGAGAATCAGTTTTGAATTAGTAGATAAAGCTGAGCAACTGCCAAAGAGTGTGGTTGTCCAAAGACCAGACCACCATGAACTTACCCCACGATGAATGCGATTTAGACTCTTTGCTATGTCCAGTTGCCCTTCTGAATTAAATGCTGCTTGCCATTTTCTAACACTTAAAGTTTTCCCAGCCTGCATGAATGTTGGATTATCAACTCTTAAAGCAATGAAATGGGTTTCTTTCACATTAGCAATCTTAGATCAATACAATACCTAAAAGTGACATGACAATCGCATATAAAACAAAGTGAAGTAACTAGTTTAGCAGGACAATCAATGAACCTCAAAGAAGCATTGTTAATTTTTGTAGCCTGATATACACAAACCAGTAGTCAAATGGCCAACCAAAAACTCGTCCAAAAGATCAACCATAAAAAAAGTAACAATAATATTATGCAAAAGTAAGAACCAAAAAGGTCACACCAGGTTGACCATACCTTGAAAGAACCAATTCTGGCATGTCAAAACTTTATACAATCCTAGAAGTGGAGCACGAGCTAAAATGCATAAAAAGCTAGAATCCTAGAAGCGGGGCATTACCAAACGAGGTACAGAGTGATTCAATGTAGACAAGAAGAGAAGGAAACAGACCCTGATCTTGAAGCGGGTTTTGGGAACATCGGTGCACTCAGGGCGAACCTCATAGAAAGAATCAGCAGGAGCTCCAGCGTCTCTCCACATTCCCACAACTCACCGAAATCACTTCCGAGAGATGGTCAAAGGACAGAAACAAACCAAATCAGCCCCAAATCAACAAATCCGCGCACCCCCCTGAGATGATCAAACCCCAGAAGAGAAGATTCAAACCCCAGAGAAAAAGAGTTGAAGGGGGAGGATCCGGGGGGGTGTAAGGCTGGGAACGAGATCCAGCTCCGAATAACCAGCTACAGACCCAAAATAAATATAAACAGAAACAACAAGGCAACAGCTAAAAGGGGAGGGGAGAGGGGGTGGAAAATCTTTACTTAATTTGATTGGATAAGAAAAAGGTCTCGAAGTTCATGGATTTGTGCTTTGTCTTACCATGTCAAAGTTGGCTGTTTTTACCCCCTCACCCAAATCCCCATTAACAACAATCCCCGTTTTATACGTTCATTCAACTCCCTTGAATCTCTAGTTTCTTCCTTAATCTGTCTGTGCGACCAAGAGCGTGCAGCTCACGACATTCATTCCACACTGTCGTTGTTTGCTGACCTCCACCTCAGTTGTTGACTTGACTCTTACTTTCGGCCCATTACGTAGGCCCACGTGTAAACCCCGGTTGATCCATAACTAAATAATCCTCCATTTGGATCATTCATGTCTGTCCGACAGGCTCATTACCTAGGCCCACGTGTAAAAAACTTTAATGTGAAGTATATGTATTATATAAATGGTATATTTAATTTGAAGTGTTCAGCTCCAATCTACACTCCTCCTCTATAGTCCAACAGTTCCAATCCACTTTGGTCCTTGTCCAGTTACTCAAAAGTAACAAAAATGAGTATAAAATACTGGTTAAATGACTTATTTATAGGCTCTTAATCTTATCAATTTCTAACACGAATGATTGTAGGAGTAAGATTCTTCCTCTAAACAAACTCCTTCTCGAATTTATTGGGATAAAGTTAATTAATTTCTTAAACCAACCTTTTCTAAAGTCATATTTTCATGATTTCAAGGAGGGAGATGTTAACTTCCTATCTTCCTTCACAACAAAGCAATTCTAAATTCATCTAATCAACATTTTATAATAACAATTTTTTAATCAACAAATTTTGAACCGATCTAATTTTAGAGAAAAATCATGAACCAATCAAACCCATAAAATTTTCAATTATTTAAACCTAATTCAATCCAAATAAATTCATTATTGGACCGAAACTCTAACGATTGAGTTGAATTGATGTAATCTTCGAGTCAAATATAGAGAGTTTGTATTAAAAATGTGTGAGATTCTTGATCCCACCCTTCATCATAGTCATCCTTGCAATCATTAGTAATTTGTAGCAAATGAAACCCAAGGGACTGATTTAGAAAGCTAGGAATCAAGTGTGACAGCCTTAAACCCAAACAAGAAGACATGAATATTCTTGGAAATAAATTAAAGGGAAAGCACTCCCACTATCCAAGTTTTTGACGTATTCCCCAACCCCATCAAAACGCAAAAATATATGCTTTATTTGTAGAGGAAGCCAACCCCATATGAAAAGGCAAAACTTTGCCTACAAAACCTGCTCTCCGCCTTCCCTTACCTTTGCAAAACAATAAGTTGAGAGCCCACTATTTCTTCTTCTTCTACTACGTGTTGCTGCGCAATGGCTAAGAAGAGCAGTTTTGCAGTGAGCAGTTTTGGGGTAATGCTTCTATTGGTGCAGAATGTTTGCGGAGTTGAGTATCAAGTGGGAGGATCAAAGGGCATTTGGGGCGTTCCTTCTGACCCTGATGCTCAGAGTTTGAACCAATGGGCTGAATCTCGTAGATTCCAAATTGGTGATTCCATAGGTAATGTAAATTAAATTTGGTTAATTTCAGGACTCTCCACAATATTGTCCACTTTAAACTTAAGGTTTCATAGTTTTCCTCTGAATTTTTGCTCTGTAAGACTCTCTCCTAATTTATATGTTATTAATGGTGCAGTGTTCAACTACCAAAGTGGGCAAGACTCGGTGCTGTTAGTGAACCAAGATGACTACAATAACTGTCATACAGAATCGCCCATAAAGCACTTTTCAGATGGCCACACCATCATCAAGTTTGAAAAATCTGGCCCTCACTACTTCATAAGTGGTATCAAAGACAATTGCCTCAAGAATGAGAAATTGGTGGTGGTTGTATTGGCTGATAGAAACAAGCAATACTCTTCTCCGCCACCAGCTCCGGTCGAGGAACCACAATCTCCTCCGCCCGAAGCTCCGGCCCAGATGAACCCAACCCCGTCGCCAACCGCCGAGGAGCCTCCTTCCAATGCAGCATCATCTTCTACATCTATCATCCGCTTATTTTTGGGGTTAACTGGAATGGTTGCAACTTCCATGATTCTTTTGTAATTACCTAGTAATTTAGGGTTTGTATAATGGGTTTCCTTTTAACATGGTTTGTGGTCATGCTGTGTGGTGGATTGTTTGATTCTTTTGAGAGTGAATAATTGGTGTCTTGTTTGTGTGTAATTACCCAAATAAATGTATTTCCTAAGTTAAATGTTCATTTTTTAATTTTTATGACTTTTAAAAGGTTCATCCTCATCTTATTTATTCACGTTGGCTAAGCAAGAGATGCTATCACCACTGGTATGAGATTTTTTAAAAAAGCTAAAAGCGAAATCACGATAATTTATACTTGAAATGGATCATATCATTGTAGAAATTCGTCGTTTTTATCATAAATTACTACTAAGTGACAAAAATGATTTGGGCTCGATATATATATATACGATATACATACGTAAGTGAAGAGGGAAAGGGCTAACCAAAATAATTGATAGCCATGGATACAGGAACCAAGCAAAGGCCAATGTTCTTGAGCCCTGTGCTACAATTATTATCCCTCCCCACAAAACCCACTTCAATTCTATCTTCAACCTCCCCAAATTCCTCAATTTCTTTTCCCTACAAAACCAGAACCCCAAATCACAGTTAAAATTGCATCAAAGAATGGATTTTTAATATAAAAACACTCAAAAATTACAAACCCTGTGTTTTGTTTGATTGATCATGGCAGTGTGCTGCTGCTGCTGCTGCTTCTTTTGCTTGGAGCTAAGCCCATCCATCTGATTCAAAACAAAAAAACCCAGTTTTTAAAAGATGTAAACAGAAGTTTTGGATGATGATTTATATAGCTGAGAATGTAATGTACGTCGGAAATTATGGAAGGATGAGGCGGAGAAGTTGCAGTGTCTTGGAGATCATCGTCATCATCGGAGGAAGAAAAGACGGCGGCGTTTTGAAAGTGATATGAAGTTGTTTTAGAGTAGTCGAATAAGAGAAGGTCGTCCATGGAGGAAGTCCAGCTACTGTGATCTTGATCCACCTGCTTCTGGGTGCAGATTTTGGAGATGGCTGAGTTTTCCATTGAAATTGACCAACAAAATCAAAAGGAAACAGAGATCTATGTGGGTTCGAGGCTGGTGGGGGCGTTGGGTCGGTATATATATATATATATATATATTGATCGGAGATTCTAATTGTTTGAATTTTTTTTCTTTTTTTTAAATATAAGGGTATGGTGGTGGTGGGGAAGTTGGCCGTTCGGGGGAGTTTATTTTATTTCCACATATATGCCATACCAATGGACAGACAAGAAAAGGAGTTGTTTGACTACCCGCCTCTTTCTGTTGTTCTCCATAATAATATGATATTATCAATTTTGATTATACGTTTTCATGTTTTTTTAGTTTATTTTACCAAAATGTCTCGTATTAATCAAAATATGTGTTACTTATAATTTTATGATCTTCTCTTTAATTATCCAATGTAGTAGTAATTTTCAATAATTCTCCTTTCAAATAAAGTAAGTCATAGACTCTCCTTAAATGAGACTCGATCCTTTTTGTGGAGCCTCTCTTAGTCCTCTATTCAAATAAAGTAGACTATTTATTCGACACTTGTGTCACTTTAACTGTATCTTCAAGACTCCATAAAATGATTTTAGCAAAGCATAAATGGTTAGAGAATTTTGGTGCTTACTGAAATTCTTAATTATGGATCTTTCTTAGCAGTTAGCACATCCGTGTTAGGAAGTTGTGCCCAATACGTTCGTTGTCCTCAATTCATGGTTGCATTGACTTTTAAATTCAATGTTTTCCTTTTTTAAGTTTTGGTCCAATTGACACCTTATTATGAGGATGGTCTTTTTTTCCTTTTCTTCCCTTTTTTTTTTTTTTTTTTTAGTGGCCAATTGTTAGTGGCGACAACCTAACACGATTCATTTCTTTTAATTTTTAATTTTTTTTTTAAATGGTTCGAGGGTTTGAAAATTTCAATTAAATTATACATAATTTGACAAGTTTGAAAGGTCAGAATTCAAAATTAATTTTTGAAGCTTGTGAAATGTTAGAAAATCTAAAATTAAGATACCTTTTAATGGGAGATGGGGGTTTGAAAAGTTTATAATATTACGACAATACCTGCATTTTCAGTTTTGTAGGGTTGGAAGTTGGGCACACGAAGGCCTCTTGCCTTTCACTCGTGCGCGCACACATCTCTCAAATCTGCTGGCTGCTATATTCCCACCTGGTCGGTTCCTTTTACATAAATTCTTCCATAACATTCTTTATTTATATATAAATTGGAATAAGTTTAATAATTCTTTATTTCTAGCATTCTCGAGATTCAACAGTGTTGTGATATGTTTATGTGTGGTATGTGCAACCATAAGTCAAAAGATTGAATACTCCTATGTGATTAAGAGGGGAGATGTTAAACTTCTCTTACATGTGAAAATGTTTTTATGATGTATCCAAGTCTGTTTATTTTGTTCATCATATAACTTTTCTCGTTTGTATTATCCATTCGAGTTAAAGGCAGCAAGGAGGGGACAAGAGGTAAAGAGATGGAGATTAGGGTTATAATTGTGGTGAGGGGACGAGAGAGAGATATATATATTAGATGTGTAATGAAGTTGTTTTCTTTAAATACGTGGAAAGAATGGAAGATTCGAACCCTTAACATTTTCATTTGCATATGATAACACAACAAACAAATACACAAGTGGAGCCCTTTTGATAATGCTATTGAAACTCAGGAGCCCTTTTGATAGATAGAAAGAAACAGATAGCTGCATTTCATCATCATCATAATCATGACCATCAGCTCAAGTTCATAATTTTGAAGTAAAATATATTCAAAGTATTCAAAACTGTGTTCCAAGATCATCAACAGATTGTGGAAGCCAATGATGATTCCAATCAATGGAAGCGATCTGTTATAAGTGCCAAAGTAACAGCCAAGATGAAGACGAGGCGCATGACACTGTAGGGACAGTGGCAGGCAGAACTGGGCAAGGGAATCGCCCTTGGAAGCGCACATTCCTCGCCGTTGAAAAACACTTTAATAGGGAAGCCATCGCCTCGTTGTATGTCCAGGTCGCGTAGGCCCTTCTTCTTAAAAGAGATCACGGACTGCTGCTTTCCTGGAATTCTCGGATCCGATGTGGGATTGGTCCCATTCACCTCTCCCATCAAGTAAGTCAAGCCAGGCAAGCCTTGGAGAAAGATGGTATTTTTAACGTTGGGAAGCCTGGTTCCATTGAAGGAGTAAACATTTTCGTAACCCCGGCCGGCCTTACCCAATTGAACGGCAGTGAACCAATCCTCAAATGGGTAATCTTCCCAGTTGAAAAGTGTGAGTCTTGCAGTCCATCCATCGGCATAGTCGGAGTTAATATGCCAATTCAGACTAACTCCACAGTTATCAGGACAAGGCAGCGTCTTTGGATTTGGGTAGTGCTTAATTTTAGCCCAAGCCCTTGCCTTCTTTGTCCTGTTATCAAATGGCACCAAAAGGGCTTCTGGAGGGAGCAGCATTGAGCGTGCATTTGGATTGCAAGTAGAAGTATCAGTGTCTTCACACCCACACGCACAAGTATTGCAAGGAATTACTGAGTCATTATAATATGCTGAGAATGAAACACAACATTTTGATTGCTTCACTTTTGGCTTTGTAATGTTGCATACAACTTGCCAACTAGCGATCGCCGTGCTCGTTGATTGAAGCCCGCTTGGGTCTGGAAACTCGGTCGGCACGACTCGGATCGGAGCGCCACATACATATTCCGGATTCAGGATACCTGAGATCTTCCATTTCTGTGGTGGAGTAAGAGCCGTTCGGTTCATGTCTGGTGGAAGCTTGAAGACTTGTAGCTGAAAAATAGACCTTGCTTTGCTTTCATCCATCATGGTAGGCAACAAGCTTCCATTCCTGCAGCAATATGGCAACTTTCCGATCTTGGGATCGTCCTTCCGTTGCGCTGGTAGATCAGCCATCACCGGGTTCGTATCGCAACTCATGACGCCGGTGAAGTCGAAATCTTGATAATATTGGCCTGCGGGGCCGTAGATGCATTGAGCTATGTCTCTTGTATGAGTGTATGCTCCTCTCATGCTTTGAATGAACTCTCCTTTCATCCATTCCCAGGTTAAGTTCCAGTGATCCAAGCGCCCCAGTGGGTTGTTGTTGTCGATTGTGACTTGAGCTAGATAGTTGTTTCCAAAAGATTGCATCACATCGTACGTTAGTGAGAGATCTCCATTTTGCCGAGCCAGAAATTTGATTTTCTTGGCCTTGGGTGCTTTTTTCTCCTTGAACTTTGGATCTTTTTTGCAGCATACATGCATTGTTCTTTTCCCTACACCAACACATAAACAACATCAAATTACACCAAAATTGTTAGAAATTATATGATATTATCCTTTTGGAACATAAATTTTAGTGTCTTTACTTTTAGTTTTTAAAAAATGCATTCTCTAACTTATAAATTGGTGATTATTAAATATTGGGTTTCATTCAAAATTAAAAATTTAGGATTTTGTTTAATTTTTTAAAAGTATTTGTTGACATCTTATATATTTTTAGTTATGGGGAATTGAAAGGTTAATGTAAGGGCAAAAGGGTACCACGAAGACGAGGGGCAGGGCACTTATATCCATCGTTAACGAGGCGAATTGTCTTAGGCATTGGAACACCAGGCGGCTTGATGCCAAATTGTGATCCGGTGATCGCAGCCGTCACTTGGATCTGATTAATATCACCGGCGGTTTCAATGGACGTTTTAAGATCGGTCATCGGATACCCAGCCAAAGTGACTCCTTTTCCAACGTCCGCAGGGAAATCCGAGCCATCCAACAGGACGGCGCCGTCGACGGAGACGAGAATCTCGTGGTGGTGAAATCCGATGAACATCTTCCAGCCCTTGAGCTCAGTCAATCCGGAGTTCAGAATTGTCGCCTCCGATTTAAAGGCCCAAGCCTGAGCCGTCGCATTCTTTAACCGGGGCAGCTCCTTCTCACGCGAAATGAAATTGTAGGTCAAGAATATGCCATTACAGTTGTTGTGCTCTGGCGGTCCCGCAGCCGGCTTCACCTTCGTATCATCGCCATCATCTCCGCCGACTGCTCCGCCGCCTGCTCCGCCAGCTGCTCCAGGGTCGCCTATGATGTAGTCTTGTGCGGAACAGGGAGATAAATTGGAAACAAGAAGAAGAGAAATAAAAAGGGAAACAGAGATCAAATCTCTGGGGCAGAGCATTGGGAATTGCATGCCGGAAGGTTCTTGAATCATAAAAAAAAAATGGAATTGGGTGAAGAAGGAGGAGGGGTGGGGGTGGGGGAGCGGCGCCGCGCGTGAACGCGGCGGTGGAGGGCGGAAAGGCGAGTTGGCTTCGGGGAAACCAGAGATGAGAAAATGCGAAGATTGATATAAAAGAAGGAGACAGAGGGGAGGGAATTTTCGGCCTCTAGTTTTCCCGCCATTTTCGCCCGCTGACTGAAAGGCCTTTGCTCGCTTCCCTTTTTTCTCTCATCAATTTTCTTTAATTTAACCACTTTCGGAACTAATAACTTAATTAGTCTTCTATTTGGATATTAATCAATACTAAATTAAAATTAAATTAGTTTTAATCTTCTGTTTAATAAATTTTTAAAAATTTTTAATTTATTAAATTGAAAAATGTCTGTTAGTAAATTTTAGAATTAAAGTCTTATTCTGTATTGACATCATTTAAACACTCAATAATTTATTAACTACAAAATTATTAATTTAAATCTCATTTTATAATAATTTGATTTTTTTTTATTTGGTTTTAATTTTCACAATATTTATAAAAAAAAAAAATAGACAGGAAGTCGAATGACTCTTTCCCGGGATTTTAATACATAAACCCAAAGAATTTTAATTTTAATATAACTTCCAACTAATTATATCTAATTCCAGATTAATTATTTAATTTAACTTTAAATTAGGGAGGAAAAAAGGGCAATTAACATTTTGATACAATTTTATTTAATTTAACTTAAAATTGGCTTTTCCCCAAACCCCAATCTGTTTGCCACGGAAACAGAGCCACCATGAATCACAAAACACAACCGCCGCCTTCCATCCATGAAAACTCACCCTTCAACCATCTGCAACCTCCGGCGACTCTCCCGCCGCCAGTATCAGATCAGCTGCTTCATCCTCAATGCAATTTTCCAGCCCCAATGACTTCAACGCCAGGTGCGCCGCCTTCTGCCCCGATATCATCATTGCCCCGAACGTTGGCCCCTGCATCCAACACCACCTCTGATTGTTAAAAAAGGTCTAAGCTTTTTAGTTAAACCACTAATTTAAACATAGTTCTTTACCATTCTTGGAGCTCCGTCGATCTCCGCCACCTCCATACCCGTTACGATCATGCCAGGCACCACCTCTCGGGTCAGCCTAACAATGGCATCCTCCGCCGTGTTCATGTCCAGGGCCTTCATTCCCGGGACGGAATCGATCATACCAATGCTCTTAAGCCGCTTCACTCCGGTGGCTCCGAAGGGCCCGTCGTGGCCACAAGAGCTGACCACCACCTTCGCCTCCATGACATTAGGGTCCATGCAGGACTGTGTGTCATGGTTCATTGACACTAAAGCCCAGTTGGTGACAACACCGCCAACTCTGCCGCCCTTGACGATCAAATCCTCTGCTGCCACGGCGTTGAACAGCTTGACATTGGGCCGTGCCAGCAGCTTGCTCATGATCGTTGAGGTGAACAGAGCCGCGTGCTTAATTACAACGTAGTCCTCTTGCTCGTCGTACTCCACACCAACCTCGTCCAAGAAGCAGTGGGCTGGCTTCCGTACCACCTATCAAAGAATATGAATCAAACATTAAATTGGCCCAAACCCATCAGATTAATGATTTTAGAATCAGATCTTGTACTGATTGAGTATTTAAATTCTTGGGCTTAAGCCAGTTTATGACTGAATTAGTATGTTGATCTAATTGTGGGTATTTTCTTACAAAGAACAAAAAACAGAGCATTCAAGGCTAAAAGACAGGAAAGAAAAGGAGGCGTTATGGGTAAGGGTGAGGCAAATAAATGGCATATAAGGGAATTAAAAGAATACCATAGCAGAGAAGAGCTGGCCACCGAGCCATGCACCGCCGCCGGGGGATACGGACTGCTCGATGATGGCGATGCGAATGTCAGGGTTTTTGCTAAGTTCATAAGCGCAAGAGAGGCCGGCAGAGCCAGCGCCGACGATGACGACATCAGTGTCGGCGTAAGTGATCATGTCGGTCATGTAACGGCGGGTCATCTCACGTGAGACGATGGACTCCTTGATGGGGTTGAATTTGAAGGAGTTCAAATCGTAGGGCTGGTGCTGAGAGGCGGAGGCGGAGATGGAGAAAGCGGCGGGGGTGGATTTGAGGCGGAGAGAAGGAGGAGGAGGAGGAGGGGCCAGAGGGGTGCCATGGAAAGAGGAGTCGAGTAAGGAGGAGGAGGAGGAGGAGGGGGTTTGGAGCTTGGTGGTGAAAGTGGAAGCCATGGAAGCCATTTTTGTAGATGCAGAGGAAAACAGAGGAGATGGGATGGGGAAGGGCGTTGGGGGGGAAGAAGGGCTTTATAGAGAGAAATGGNGCATTCAATTTTACCCCAAATTGGTTGAGTGAGAAAAATATCTAAGGGATGGGGAAATGTGGGGGAGAGGATAGAAAATGAAGGGCTCAGAATGGGGAGATGGGGTTCTCCAAACCGCATCATCCATCACCATGATGCTTCATTTTCTTTTCCCATCATCTCTTGTTTCTTTCTCATTTGCCTCTCTCTTTCCTCGAGATATTTTATATATATATAACCTTATAAAACAATATATATATAAAAATATCTTCCAAGTGTATGCGTTATTTTAAATTTTCGAATATTTCAAGAATATCATTTGCCTCTCATAATCCAATTACAATAAGAGTGGTCAATTAATGTGTGTAAAATAGTCAATTCATAGATCCTGTTTCATTGTGAAGGAGAATGGTCGTTTAAAATAATATACAATTAGTTTTATTTAGCATAAATGTGTAATAACATATAAAAATTAATGTATTCAAATAAGAAACAGATTTATTTTGAATAAAATAAAATGATAAAACTGCGTCCCACGTGTTACTTCCATTTTGAAACTGCAAGGGAGTCGGAAAGGAGGAGGAAGAAGAAGAGAAACAAATGGCATGGGGGGAGGTTAACGTGGAAAGCGGCGTCGCCATTAAAGGCCACCCAATGCAAACTTCAAGTTTCCACGTCTCGTGCATGCATTCCTCCCTTACCCCTTCAAATACCCACCCTTCTAGCCCCCACCTTTCTCCCCCACCGCCCTCTTCACCACCATAATCTTCATACTCAACGTTAACAATGGCCAGACACCCATTTTCCCTCCTCCTCCTCCTCTCCCTCTTCCTCCTCGCCGCCTCCGCCCTCCGCTTCCACGATGACAACCAAAATCCTTGGCTGCAGAGGTGCCGCCAACAGGTTCTTTGAACACAAGCTCTTATCTCAAAAAATTTCTATATTCTCTAAATTAAAGTCCATTAACCTGATAATGGAGGTAATATTTTCTAATTAAAGACTTCATAATGGAGATAATAAATATATTTATTGATTATATAAATGTATGATCAATCTCTAAATTAGAATGAGCAGATGTGGGACTTTGGTCCCATAATTATATTTACAATTTTGTTGAAATGATACAGGTTAGGGGGGAGCGGCTCCGCCACTGCGAGCAGCTGCTGATGAGGCCGCGCCGCGTCCGCCAGCTTTTAATGGCTGAAGAAGAAGAAGATGCAGTGGAGCACCTGGAGGAGTGCTGCCAGCAGCTACGGGGAATGGACGACGCGTGCCGGTGCGAAGGGCTGCGGCAGATCGTGCAGCGACGTAGACAGCAAGGGAGAATGCAAGGGATCGACGTTGGGCAAATGCTGGAGAGAGCTACGAACTTGCCGTCAGTCTGTAGGCTCAGCCAACGCCGCTGCGAACTCCGCTCCTCCCGGTGGTAGAATGGTAGAATGAGAAAGAAAATGAGAGCCCATTGAGGTGAAAAACTGAAAAATGGAGTAATAATCAATAAAATGTGACAGCTCCTCGTCTTAGTGGGAGATGTGTACTACTGTTTAAAGTAACGTCCCTTGCCGTTTTTTCTTTTTTTCTTTTTCTTTTTGTGGAATAAAATGTCGTCATTAGTTAATCCTCTTAAATATTAAATTATCTTATTATTATTTAGGTTTTTTTTTTTTTAAATTGATATAAAATAATTTAATTTTAATATATAGAATATTATTGATATTAGACCCATCTTAATCTGAAAATGGAAGAAATAAAGAAGCCTTTGTTCTGGTTACGTTTCAAAACATATATGCTAATATTTGTTCCCATTTTATTGTTTTTCCATAATTTTTTAATATAGAGTTTTAATAAATATAAAAATCACATAATGGTGTTAAATAATTTAATTTAAAAATAGTTTTGAATATATAAAAAGAAAAGTTACGTACTTTTCTAAGTACGTTTGGTTTGCTTTTCTATCCTATTAAGAAACACAAAATCCAACCTCAATCCACGTCGTATACTACTTTTTGTCCCACATGGGTTTATAATATAAGCCCATGGATTTATAATATAAATTATAAGTCCAATCTTTCAGAGGCTCAAAGTGAATAATATCATACCTCATACCATTGTGGAGAATTGTGTTGAACAATATCATACTATTATGGAGAATTGTGTTAGACACCTCAAAGTAAATAATATCATACCTCATACCATTGTGGAGAATTGTGTTGAACAATATCATACTATTATGGAGAATTGTGTTTGTCTAACACAGATGACATCTTTTGAGGTTATAGAGTAAGGTTATAGAGTTAGAGTCGATGTAGAAGACGATCACATAGAAAGAACGAGAAGGGTTTTAGGGTTTGAAAAGAGTAAATTGAGCTTTTAAATGAGGCCAAGATTCGTAGACCGCTTTGAGATCCTAGACAGAATAGGGTAAGTGGTGTATATATTTTAGTATGTTAATATTTTGTATGGAGAATATTTAGCTTTTTCATATCCATTTATGCATCTATTTTTCTTTTCATTTCCGAATCTAATATGGTTCGACGATTATAAATAGAGAACATGTGTGTATTAATGATGTATTAATGAGGTTGGCGCAGCAAACCCCGAGAAACGAAAATCAAAACTGCCATTTGTACACAAAATTCCACTCCCAATTCCAGCATCATGACACATACGGCATTGGCATTTGCATGGCTACCGTCACGTGGAAGCAGAAACACAACACACAACTCCACCATAGCTTACACCTTCACAAGCTTCACAAGCTTCACAAACCCACAACAATACAAAACCACTCCTTCCACGTTCCCTACATGCACCCACTCCCCATTCCCTATAAATACCAATTGCAAATTAAACAACTCTCATCCATAAAAATAATAATAAAAAAAACATCTTCTTCAACAATGGCCAGACTCACAAGCATCATTGCCCTCTTCGCAGTGGCTCTGCTGGTTGCAGATGCGTACGCCTACCGCACCACCATCACCACCGTGGAAGTGGAGGAAAACAGGCAAGGGCGAGAGGAGAGGTGCCGCCAGATGAGCGCCCGCGAGGAGCTCCGTAGCTGCGAGAAATACCTGAGGCAACAGAGTAGGGACGTGCTGCAGATGAGGGGAATCGAGAACCCATGGAGGAGGGAAGGAGGGTCCTTCGATGAGTGCTGCAGAGAGCTGAGGAATGTGGATGAGGAGTGCCGGTGCGATATGTTGGAGGAGATTGCTAGGGAGGAGCAGAGGCAGGCACGTGGCCAAGAAGGAAGGCAGATGCTACAGAAGGCTAGGAACTTGCCTTCCATGTGCGGAATCCGCCCACAGCGATGCGACTTCTGAGCGCCAACTACAACAGAACAGAACGGAGCAGCACATGGTCGTGTGCCTTTTGTCCTATGTTTTCATAAATAAAGACTAATGAATTCTGCCATCACTACTCCTCCTCTGCTGCTTACTAAAATAATGACTGCTCTTCAGACAAGAAGGATAATAATTAAATAAACTAAAACCCTAAGGATAAGAGGATAGATTTTGATGATGAATTATGTCATCCAATGCAATTTAAAAGACGCCCAAATGCATTCATTTCTCATGTAGCATTAATAAGATATAGTAATCAAGGAGACAAAATACAACCAAGGGGATCTATTTAATTAAAATGTCTTCTTCTGCGGGGTTTTGTCGGCATTTCTGGGCCGCCCGCTTAAATTCTGAAGCGAATAGGGCCCCGAGGTCTTCCCACATGGACTCCCTTGTTTATGGGCTTCAATGGGAATTAATTAATTAAATCAGAGACGTATAAAATGATTTGTACTGAAAATACACATTAAAATAAGGTAATAATTGGAACCAATGAAAGTTAAAGGTTGTAACAACCCAATAAAGAGGACAATAATAATATTACAATAAAATAGGAAAATTCCAACTCCACTACCATTTCCATAAACTTTACCCAATCACCATCCAACTTAATGGGAATCATTCTCATACCCTTTCATGCAAGCTAAGCTAAGCTAATTTATTTGTCTTTTCGGAAGTGCCTAGCTTGCATGGGCTGTCTTCTCCTCCCATTAATTGTCTTTTTAATTTCCTCCCACTATTATCAAATTCAAATTGACCCAACTTGAAAGCTCAGAAATTCAGATCTTCATCTCTCATATGTTATTAGAGAGAAAAATAATCAATTTCTTGATATTTTACAAACGCAAGAAAGTCCTAAAAATTGAAAATAATATTAAGAATATGCGCATATAAACATATCAGGAAAATGATTTTGGAGTGACATGAAGGCCCATTCAAACCTGAAAAGCCCATAAGGAAATATCATCAGCATAGTGACGGAGGCGACGAATCTCTCATTCCGACGACTACCCGCCACCACTTCTTTCTCATATTCCCCAAATCCCATTTCAGATTCTCCATTGATTTTTGGCTTCAACTTCGACACACTTCTCTCTACGCTGGCCTCTCTCTTCTCTCTTTCACTTTACTGCTCTCAATTCGACGAAAATTCACGCTGGAAACATCGCCCTTCCTGCTCAATCACCATCACCATCAACGCGATATGGTATCCCCTGAAACCACCAATTGGCTCTTTGATTATGCGTTAATCGATGATATTCCTGTTCCTGATGATGCCAATTTCTCTGCACCTACTGCCGGTTTCTCTTGGTCCATGCAACCCTTCAACGCCTCCTCCGATGTCAGGTTTTATTTCTCTCTCATTTTCTTCGATTTTCCTGTTCTATCCGTTTGACAATCATATATTGCTCCGTTGAACCATACTGGCCTTTTACTTGGATTGTTATGTGTGTGAAAGTTCCTTCGAGTCTGCATGTACGGACTTCTAGTTGTGATCTAGGATTCGACTGTGCTGGGATTTGAGATGGTCGTTTGATTTCATCTTTAGCTCGAAAGTAGTCGCGGCAACTTTTTCTTTATAAAAGAACTTGATTGGGACTTGAAACTTGACCTTGCTTCTTCGAATTTGGTAATCAGAAGATTTGTGTCTACATCTCCAACTTTCCTTTACTATCTAAATTTAGTAACTAATTTACCATGTAAGGAGAAACAGGATCACATGTTTGAGAATATCTGAGATTTATATCTAGTTTCTTCATGTTCTTGGCTTTCTAGTCGAAGCTTGTAGGTTGTAAATTTAAATGGGTAGGTTTAAAATCTGCAGTATAAATTACTTATTTCATTTCATCCAATAAAAAATTTCCCCCTTCAAGTGTTGTTCCAATTCATTCTCCCCCTTTAACTAGGGGAGTAGTCGGCACCCTTAAATTAATCATTTACTGAAGCTTAAATAACAAATAATAACCTGAAAATATGATCATATTAAATAAACGCCTTAAAATATAATTAGTTCAGTTAAAAGAAACTGCGTGTGATCTTCATTTTAATCTTTTGAAATGTAGTTTTCTCTTAGTCTGTACTCTTTTCATGTTAGACATTCAGTTCTTTATTAATTTCTTTCACTTTGGAGACTTTTATACCTATTATATGAATACTTCGACGAAAGATAATTTGATCAAGTAAAGGGTCTGTCTTATTTAACCAGCCTAAGCATGAACTTGTAATTTACATGTCTTTCAAGACTTCATTTCCTCAGGTTTATTTCTCAAATTGCTTGACTAGCATCTATAAATTAATGGAAGATGTTGAGACCTGTTTTTAACTTAACTTTTTGCTTGTTTGAATCGTTGTTGTTTTTAATTTATTTCAACATTAACATTTCTACTATGTTAACGGAGACAGTGCCAATGTACTCATACAGTTTTTCCTGTGTTTGTGCCTCCAGTCTTTGATATGGAACAGAGATTTAATCCTTTGGTTACTGTCTTTGGACAGTATTTATTTTTGAAATATGTCATTGCATTTAATATTTTTTTAAACAAAGAACTCTCTTTCTCTCTCGTCTGCAAATTTTCCTGTCATATATTCTCATCCTCTCTGTCTTTTTAATTTTACCATTTCATTAAATTTTGCCTTTTCATGGTGGTGGTTGGTAGGGGGATATCATTTTTGCGTTTACTCATTAAACTTTTTGCTACATCTTTTACTAGTGCGGAAATTGAAGGATCATTGTTGGAATCAGATGGCCTGAAGGAGCCTGGTTCAAAGAAGAGGTAAATACCAACCTCTTGGCTCTTGATGATTCTTTGATTGCTAGTTAGTTTCCCTGCTTTTCTGTAATCCAATTTCTCAGTGTATTTTTCATATTCTTGAGCCTCCAAGATTAGACATAGCATCATGATAGAAAAAAGGGGAAATGAACATGTCGAGCCTCCAATTTCTCAGTGTATTTTTCATTTGCTAGTTAGTTTCGTTCTTCCAGTGTTTTTCTCTTCTCTTTCGTTTCAATTTCTTTATATTTCTTCCTATTTGCCAAAAACCAGCCATTCTCTTTTTTTATTTACTTATAAAATAATAAAAATAAGGTTTTGGAAAATTTTCCCTATGTGGAAACACAATCGAAGATCAAAGAATCTCGGCACATTTTGACTCCCTAAACTCAGCAAATGAAGCTGAGAGGCAGACTAAGATTTCCTTTGGGTTAGGGGAGGAGAGGCCGTTTCCAGCTCTTACTGTCTGGTTGCTATTCTTAGAAGTCCGGTAAAAGAAAGAACTATTTGCAAGCTGTTAAGATATCTTCTTTTAGGGGAAAATTTCATATAGCAATTGAATTTAACTTTTCACTCAATTACATTACATTATTAGAGTTGAAGGAATCTATATGGATGGTTGTAACGATACATATAGAACAAGTATGTTTTCTTGAACAAATTACTGAACCTCCTATTCCTCCCCGTCCCAAAGGGGAGTGAAAAGGAGAATAAATAACGAGCAATCAAATAAAACGCTGCAGGGTCAGAACTGAATCAAGTTGTGCATCTAGCTCAAAAGCATGTAGGGAAAAGCTGCGAAGGGACAGATTAAATGACAAGTAATCCTCCTCTTTGTTTCTCTCTCTCACACTTGCTTGATAATGCATATGCATGTACCGAGAAGCATATGTTTTATTTCTATAAGGAATGAGCATATGAAACTTGACAGATTTTTGGAATTGGGTGCTACTCTGGAGCCTGGAAGGGCACTGAAGACCGACAAGGCTGCCATTTTGATTGATGCTGTTCGAATGGTCACTCAGTTACGCAGTGAAGCCCAGATGTTGAAGGACTCAAATACAAGCCTACTCGAGAAGATTAAAGATTTGAAGGTAGGTCTTGTACAATTATCTGACCGAGAAGAAACTTACTCTAATCTCTTAGTATAATCTCCAAGTATTTCCATTACATTAGTAAATTCCACTTGAAAGAATCTTGCATACTGCAACATTAGTGAGGCGAGGATTTTTATTTGCGGACTTATAAGACTTCAAATTTTCACTTTTCCCACTTTTTTAGGCTGAGAAGAATGAGCTTCGTGATGAGAAGCATAGGCTAAAACTGGAGAAGGAGAAGTTGGAGCAGCAACTAAAAGCCACGAATTCACAACCTGGCTTCATGCCTCCAGCCATCCCTGCAACTTTTGCAGCACAAGGCCAAGCACCTGGAAACAAGTTGGTTCCATTCATTGGCTACCCAGGAGTTGCCATGTGGCAGTTCATGCCACCTGCAGCTGTTGACACCTCGCAAGATCACGTACTTCGACCCCCTGTTGCATAATTAGGCAGCCAGAAAACTACCAGGGTGGTTTGGGATTGCATATTTTGACCCAAACATTTGTACTGATTCTACCTTTGTTCTTGACACTTACTTCAAAACTTCGTATTAACTGGTGGATAATATGGTGGAATCATTGATCTTGACTGTATTTGCAACTTGTAGACTATTTATGGAATCAATGCTGGTTTTTACATGTAAAAATGTGAATAAGTTAATCCAGCATATGAATGTTCATGAGAAGAATAGGCATAACAACGTGATGTTTGCCTGCATTACAGCCAGAGAGACTGAATTTCCTCTTCTTTTTCTTCCCTCTTGAATATCATCCGCTGGCCCATTCTCAAGTACAGAAACATTTTGCGGGATCTTTCCTCCAAAATGATAAAAAGTTCATTTCAATCGTCTTAATTGTGATTGGGGGATTTTTAGATAAATCACGATATAGTAGGTCCATAGAAAGTAATTGAAACCAGACAAAGAAATATCTGTTTGCTAAGGTTCTACCCAGCGGAGCAACATTATCCGGTTATTGCTGGAACTTTGATGGACAATTAGCTTCTCAGTTCCCTCCTGTTTTCTCTCATCAGATGGCCACCGATCTTCTCAAATTTCCTTTCCAAATCACCGAAGCTGCTATTTCTTCCCCATTCCCCAATCTACTCCCCACCAAAAAAATTTCCCCTCTTCTAACGTTTCCGGCTTCTCAGGTTTTCCCAATTCACCATTTCCAGGTCTCCTTCTATCCTCATGCAACTCACAAATTAAAAAGAATCCGTTCTACAGTTCATTCCTCTCTGTCTTCTTCAACCCCACCCACCTCAAAAGAAGAAGCCATTTCTCAGGCCAAAACCTGCCTCTGTACCACACTCCAAAAGCCCCTCAACAACATTAGATTTCCCGGCAGGATCGTCAAGAAAGCAAAGCAACCCAGATTCCGTGTCGAGATTCCGGTCATTGATGAATCGCCCAGGTCTCTAACTGAGCTCGCTTTTGAGATGTTTGGGGACCTACCCATTAAGATAAAAGGTTCCCCTGTTAAAATTTTACTCCTCTGGCCAAGCCCCATCTTGGCTGATGCTGCCAGTAAAGCCTTTCTTTCTTGTTCTTCAGACCAAATTGAACAAATAGACATTTCCTCAATGGATGGGTTAGATGCCAGAGTTTCGAATTCTAGCGTTGTGGCAGTGTTTTTGGGGCCGGAATCTTCTCAAATTCGAACTATAAAGAGTATTACTGATCTTTTGTATCCCAATCCAGTGGTGATTTTCAGCCCCAAATGGGCATTTGAGGAGGAGAGTGAATTTGGTGACTTAAGTGGATTTGTTGGGTCTTTTGATGTCATTTATTCCTTCATGGGGTTGGAAGTTCAAGGGATTTTGAACAAGAGAAAAGGGGTGATTTTCAAGTGTGTGAGAAATGGGGTTTTGAGTGGTGAGCTATGGAATGTGCTTGTCGAAGAGGAAGGAGGAGAACTGAAGGCGGTTTCGAAGTTCAAGGCGAGGCCATCGATCACAGAAGTCGAGAATGTGTTGTACAATTTGATGGCCATGAATTCACCCATCACCAAGTCTGCAAAGTTCTTGAAGGACTTGGTGTCAAATGTAACTGGGAAAAAGTAAGTTTTGTTAAACTACTGTGTTCTGATTTCATGTCATTGTCTTACAAATCACCTGTTTGCCTTTAGATCTGATCTACACTGAATGTATTTGCTTTTCAATCTTGTAACATGACAAAACTACATAAATCTACAAAAATTTGGAAATGGTATATGGATTTTATGTGTATAAGGAAACAAAAAGTTAATAGCATTGAAAGAGGGGAATAGAGAAAAGAATGAATAGCAAGGAGGATCCGAAAGTAAGAGGTGCGACGTCATCGATACTCGGTATCAAAGTACTTAGTAATCATATAGTTGGAGAAAATTTCTTCCCAACCTAGGAAGCTTGTATGTGGCAGCTCTTGATAAATTTATCAGAGAAGTTGATATACTTTGTCCACAATGGGCGGAGCTGTGGAAAGGCTATCTCAAGCCATGGTTTTGCTCGGCCATTGAAGTGGACAACTCCCGCAGTTTCTGCATCGACCAAACTTGTATTCTCTTGATACCCTAGGCCTAGCATATGCCAAAATGGATCGATGATATGAACGTGACCATGAAATGCTATCAATCCTGGAGGTAAAGTCCCAAGCTGCCATAAACTTAGGTCTGATTTCAAGTTCTGTATATGAAACAGTTTCCGTTCAGCCAAAATATGTTGGAAATATAGGATAAACAATGTAGCACAAACTATGGAGTCAATTTTGATTCATTATTGAATTGAGCCTACCTGTTCCAACCAGTGGTGATATGTGAGGCTTATGTTAGTCTTTTTCCAGGCCTCAAGATCAAAGATGTTCATCCCATAAGCCCATGCACATTCATTAGGATTGAAATTTGCTGCTATTAAAGGATGGGAGAAGTTCAAATAGTTCTTTAATCGCTTCGACATTACAAATTTATCTTCTCCTGTACATGTTTCCACTGCTCCATTAACCTTCCCATTCATTTTGATGTCCCATAAAGGTGAAAGATCAGTTTGAATCACAATGTCGTCGTCCAAGAATACGACCTTCTCTAGACTTGGGAACAACTGCATAGAGAATGTGCCGTTCATGAGCATTCACATAGTAAAATATAAAAGATAGGTCGTATAGGAGTTTTGATAGAATACTTTCTTGACATTTTCCAAGAAAATATGGAAGAAATCCGCTTTCAGAAAGACGATGAGGGTGTTGAATGAATTCCTTTACCTCTGGTAAGTGGATACGAATGTGATTCATCACGGAATTATATTTAGGACTCAGTGCCTGCAACTTTGCTGCAATGATATTAGGTTTTTCGGTCCCATTTGCAACAATGGCAGAGGACCCTCCCCTGAACTGTGACCGGACCTTCTGATCTTTCTCTATTGCTTCCAGAACTGGGACTTTCCCCTTTGTGAACCAGTCAAAATGATGCAATGCCTTAACCTCAATAATTGCAGGTGACAAAGAGTGAAGGGAAAACCATGCTTGCATAGGGAAGTAAGCATTTCTGTCGGTGATTATATGGAGAACAACTTTCTGTGCGCATAAAGCGTTGTGAACGAGGGATTTGGCAACGACAGATGCAGCAAGCACATTGTCAGTAGCTAGGACAAAGTGAAAGTAGGAATTGTCAACGAGGGCTGGCACAAGTTCAGCTGAAGGAAGCTGGAGGCGAGCAGCTGCATTGGTTGAGTGCTCATTAGCAAGCCTGAGGGCAAGGCAATGCAGCTGCTTCGGTATGCTGCTAGATGCTATATGCCTGTACAAGTATTCTTGGATTTTGGCAGTTCTGGTTCTTTGTTCCATAAGTCTGACCTGCAAAATACACGATAAATTCACATTAACACCTCTATGATAATGAAACCTACAAAACATTAATATTTTAGCTCAAATTTCTGACAGTGGTGATTTGTTTCTTAAATGATTGCCATAACTCCCTTGATCTTGGAGTAAAAACTCTTGAACTCTGTTTCACTCAATTATCCTCACACACATAACACCAACAGAATTGGAGTTTCTGGGTAAAGGGTATGTTTCAAGAGGTTGAAGGATAACAAACAATCATAAACTTTGAGATGAGAGATCATAACCATTTCTCTGAGTTTGAGGGCAAAAGTTTCTGCATCTGGTTTGCTTTCCTTGATCTCAGACATAAAGTCTTCTAAAGTCTGTGGGATATTGTCTAATCTTCCTTGAAGTTCATCTTTTCTCATGGGTTTATCCAATATTTGATACATGACATCTGGAACCTGAACCAAAAACAAACAAAATATAGAAAGTTCATTAACAGTGCCTATATAGACGTTGAATTATGCCTTCACGGCAGAGGTTTGGAGATTACTTCTGATTCCAATCTTCTCCCCAAAAGCTTTGGGACTAATTTTTCCCCCAGACAACCTACCATAAGATCAAGAAGTTTAAACTATTAGAAGCTGCCATACTTTTAGAGAGAGAGAGAGAGAGAGAGAGAGAAGTTGAGAATGAATGTACCTAGAGTAGAACACTTGCTTTCTCCATCGATTGTATCAACTGCTGTCAACACGAACACAAACCGGAGAAGGAAGGTGAAGAATAGAAGCAAATAGATAAGTGTTCTATATGAAGCCCACCTTGATGCAACCTTCACTTTGATGTACTCTCTAACACCTTTGCCTGGAAGCACTGTGACATGCCTCAAACTTGGTGATATATGAAGCTGCATTATTTTCTAACAGAAGAAAGCAAGCGCTATGGTGAAAAACACAAATACAAACAGCAAAGCGACGCGAAATCCAGATCTGATCCTAGAAAAGCTAGCCAGGTTAGAAGAGTTCTTCCTTGAGACAGTTATTTCATTTGACAATCTCCCAAAGAATAGATATGCTGTTTTTTATGGTGTTTAAGGTTTCTATATCTTACCTAACCTTGCTTAGCATTTGGGCTAGATGTTTCTGCTTTCTTCTGTCTGTTCTTTTTTTTTTTCTTTTCCAATTCAAAGGAGGGAGAGGGGGTTGTTAAGAAGAAAGAGACATGGGACTGATAAGAAGCCATGTTTGTTTTACTGGTTTCTTTTTGTTTTCATGAAGGGAAATTCAGAAAGAATATAATAATATTACTTCAAACTTTCTTTAGAGGGGAAAAAGAAAAGAACTTCAAATGAGAAACAGAGATGGGGAGGGTCTGGTGTTTGTGTAACGGTCCAAGTCCACCGTTAGTAGATGTTGTCCTCCTTGAGTTTTTTTTTTCAGGCTTCCCGTCAAGGTTTTTAAAACGTGTTTGCTAGGGAGAGGTTTCCACACCCTTGTAAAGAATGCTTCGTTCTTCTCCCCAACCGATGTGGAATCTCACAGTTTGGCTTCACTGTGTATTTGCATGACGTTTACAGATTAGTCTACAAAGAGTTTAGCATTATGAAAGAACATGGCTTCTGAATAGAAAAGGACTTCTCCCCCCTCTCATCTGAAGTTTGGTTGGTCTTTGGCTGTTGGAGTGAAAATGCAGAAACCTTCTTGTTTTCCTTCTGTTGCATGTTTGCCCTGTGATTAAGTTAATTCAAGCTATCACACTCTCTTAAGTTCTCCCTAATCAAACCAATACTCATGATAATCTCCATTAAATTTCTCTTGAAAAGTGATTGATCATTCCATG